TGATTCTGGTAAAGGAAAGAAATGTTGTTTTTTTTTTTTTTTTTGAAGACCTTTTGGATGCTTTGATAACAGGACACCTGACAGGTCCACTAACTAAAGTTTGACTCAGCAACTTTTAAGACATTATGAAATCCAAAAATGCTGGGATGTTGTGTAAAATATAATTATTAAAAATAATTTAAAAAATAAATAAAGTGATTTGCAAATTTCATAAACCATTAATTTCTTCGTAGTAAACACTTCAAACTAAAAAAAATTAAGTCTAGTCGAACAAGACATGCACTGATGCTTCCTATTTAACATAAATGGCTTCTTTCGTATTTCTTGATCCATCTTTCACAATTGTCACATAGAAAAACTTGTGAAAACCAACAGCTTCATAGGGCCCTGTTTACATGATATCGTCTTTCAGAGAAATTGTAGCAGTTTTACTGCATTTCAGCCGTTTGTGTATATGAACACAGTGGCCATTTTTTTCTGACACCAAATCTTTTTGAATCCAAGTCTCAACATAACAGCACTTATTTTTACAAATTACAAATCCTTTTTTTATTTTGCAGAAAAGAGCTATAAGAATTATCACAAAAAAGGCGTTATGATTACCCATCAAACACATTATTTTGTCAGTTGAAATTATTGAAATTCTATGAGTTGGTTAATTACAATATTTTGCAGATTATGTATAAGGCTCATAAAAATATATTACCTTTGAACATCCAATCGAATTTTGTTAAGAGACAAAGTTACTACAATTTAAAAGGGACAGAGGTGTTTGTGAAACCTAAAATCCAAACTAGTTTGAAGGAACGATGTACTTCAGTGCAAGGAATAATCTGGACTATGATTTTAAAAGTGCAGGATCAATGTATAAGTTTAGGAGAATGGTAAAATCCAGTCTGTTGAAGAAATATGAAATGACATAATACTGTATGTATCCTTAAAATTTTCTGAGAAAGATTTTAGCTTTTTATTTTTTTTCCTGTTTTTATTAGTTTGAATTCCTTTTGATGTAAAAAGGTGCAGATATTATAAGATTTTTTTCTTCCTCCTGCCGCCTTTCATTTTGATTTGATTGATTTATTGATTCAACAGGAAAAGATTACTAAAAATCAAGCCTGACTCAGCATAATTGCTGTTTTACAGCAGCKTCCTGTTCTGCAGCACATAAAACACTCAGAATTACAGCATCACAATCACATCATTATTATTACACCATAGACACAAAGACAAACAAGCATACCAAATTTCAAAAAGGCAGCATTTGCAAAATCGGACGTCTAAATATGAGCACAACAAAAAGAACTTTTCATTTGCATTTTTTGTATGCTGAATTTGCTTTGTTTTTTTAATGAAATGAATGAATAAAYTAAACTAAACATTTTCAAGCGAAACTGCATAAAAGTCTTTCGTTTTTATGCACTTGCAGAAGTGGATGAACAACAGTAACATCGACAGATAGCCATGGACTATTTGTGGTGCTCGCCCTTTTCCATGTGTAGAAGCAAACTTTATGCTCAGTTCAAACACGCTTTCAAGCATTCACTATTTTGGATTTAATAGTTGTCATGTTTGATACGGAAATTATCTGAAATTACTAACTAATGCAAATATTCATATGTGATCAAAAAATCTGTTATGAGCCAGGCAAGACCTTAACTATTCTTATTAGATGGGGCATGAGAATAGTGAATTTATTTGCATAAATAGAGCTTGTACTCCAACTCTCCTGCTTACAGCCAAAGGGGAACAAAACATTCCCAACGTCCAGTCATGTCTACTTTAAAATGTATGTTTTAAAGCAGAGTTTCCCAAAGTTGGGGTCGGGACCCAAAGTGGGGTCCCGAAACATCAAGGTGGGGTCCTGAAAAGATTTTCTGAATTAATTACATTTTTGCCTTAGTTGTTACAAATGAGTGAGGTTAGTGTATTTAAAATGGATAAATGTAGTATAAAAACATTGTTACTATGCCCATGTTTTGTTGACCTGATACAAATGTTTATCATCCAAAAAYAGTTGTGGGCACAGGCCTCTGCTACTGTTATTTTGTGGGTCAAAAGCTGAAAAGTTTGGGAACCACTGCACTTTGGTTCCCAAAGTTGGGCTTGGGACCCAMTTATGGGTCATGAAGCACCTTGGATAATCTCCAGAAATCAATTTAAAGGGTAATAAAATAATTGCTGATGTAATATTTTCCCTATAACTATTACAAAAACACAAAATAAGTAAAAATAAGTATTTATATTTGTGTATAAGCTGTTTAGATTGTCAAAAAAGCCTGTGTTTTTAGGGTTATTAACGAAGTTCATGTACTCAGACCAGTAATATTTGGGGTCACAAGTTTTTGCCATGGATAGTTAGTGGGTCAGAAGAYAAAAAGTTTGGGAACCACTGTTTTAAAGAATTATATGCGTTTTTTTTTTTCCTTTCATATGTTGACAAATCCAAACAGCATGAGTAAAATGCTGTGCTACTGCTTTATGATGAAAGGTTGGGGATGCCTTTGAGTGGRATCCTATTAGGCTCCGCCCCTCGCTCATTATGCATTCAGTAACCAGGAAGACTAGCGGAGTCGCGCCCCCCACCAGCTCATCACGACCCGCTCTTCTAAAGGAGCTGCGGTCGAGTAGTAGAGGAGCGTCTGCGGTGCTGGAGGTTCTTTACGACACGGAGACTGCAGCAGACGAGATGCTGCTCGGCGACACTGAGCCATAAACTTGGTACAGAATTCTGAGCAGAATTAGCGCTTCGTGCTTTTTTCTCTTCCAAATGTGGGGAGCGCCTCTGCCGAAACAACACAGCCGCGGTCTGGATGCGAGATGGAAACATAGGGGATTCCTTTCGAGAACGCGCTTAGCGAGGAAACTACAAGCGGTGTTGCAAAGAGGCAGAGAGAGGCGAGGCGAGGACTGAAGCAGATCAGAGTCCCAAAATGGTTCAAAACGTGGTTCTGGTGTTTCTTCGCAGGAGGTTGAGCCAGAGACCAAACGTGGAGGAGCTGGAGAGCCGGAACATTTTAAAACGTGAGTTTCCAAACATCACCTGTTCACACTCATATTTCACCATATGGATATTTTTAACCCTTAAAAAAAAAACATGGATAGAAATAATAAAAAAATATTTATAGTACAAACTGCAGTGCATGTTTATACCATGTACTGATTGTGTATATAAAAATACTTTTTTTAAATTAAAGTTTTATTTTACACATTTTTTCTAAGGATGTTTTTCTTTTTCCACAGAGAGAAATGATCAAACAGAACAAGAGGAAAGGAGGGAGATAAAGCAGCGGCTAAACAGAAAGGTACACCCCTGATTGTAATTGTGGGCATTCAGATTGTGGTTACTTCAAACATGACAGAAGACACCTGAAACGGTTTGATAATTTCTTGATTTTTTTTTTTCGTTCTTTCTTTTTTCAGCTCAATCAACGACCAACAGTAGATGAGCTTCGAGAGAGAAAGATTTTAATCCGCTTCAGCGATTATGTGGAGGTGGCCAAAGCTCAGGACTACGACAGGAGAGCRGACAAGCCCTGGACTCGTCTCTCGGCTGCAGACAAGGTGTGTATTTACACTGATAAGTCAAGTCATGCGATGACCTATAAAATCGTACACAAATGACGTTAACCGAGCAGCAAATCAAATTTACCATTTAGGTCAGAGATTATGAAAAATTCCCTTGACGTTATGAGCGATCACTCTGTGGAATCAGCTTTTCATGACGCTGTTATCAGCTTATCTCACAAAATCCCCTGTTCACTTTCAATTTTTTAGGCTGATTATGTGTTTCTCCTTCTGTCACATTGATGTCCACTAGTTGCCAGACCTCGGGTGGCACAGAATGCATTAGGAATCCACTGATGGTCTTTTATATCTCTMCCCCCCACCCACAGGCTGCGATCCGAAAAGAGCTGAACGAGTTCAAGAGCACCGAGATGGAAGTGCACGCCTCGAGCAAACACTTAACCAGGTTAGTATTCAGATGTGTGTGTTCACCGGTAGTGTTTTGCACGCGTGCGCTATTCTGGGCTGCGGCGGTCTAAATTTAGCGCTCCTTGCTCATCTAGAGGGTACTGGGAAGCTAAAGATAGATGGGATTGCTTCCAATCTTGGGAGGGGGAGGTTGTCCCTCTGAGAGCTCAMGCGATCGGGCAAAGGGAAATGCTGATGGCAACGAATCCTTGGCTGAATGCGTTCGGACAGCGAGGCTCTCTGCGGGTTRTACTAGTGACCCAGAGAGAGGACAGGAGGAGAGCGCGTGTGCAGCCCCTCGCTGTTAAAAATAGCTCTTGATTAATGACTRTAACAGTCGAGGTTTGATGACAAAGGACCCTCTCACAGTTTTTGCTTTGTTCACTTTTTTTTTTTTTTAGGTTCCACCGGCCATAAAAGCTGAATTTCTTCTGTGAAGAAATGCTGAGCTTAGAGATTTCCCGAAGCTGCTTGATGCTGCTCAGTGGTGACGGATCAAAAAGAGCCTGGAGCTGTTTCGTCTTCAGTGTGTCTTTAACTTTCTTCCAGTGCCCTCATGTTATCAGTATGAAGAGAGCGGTGTGGGAGAAAMCAATGGCGTTTGCAGCAGTGTGTCCTGGACACTGCAGGATGCAACATGGAAGCTGGCAGGTGGGAGAGACTTTGATGGAGCCTCTGACTCTCAGGACAAGAGCAGGGGAAAAACAATCTTTTAATTATTTTTATTTTTCTTTTTGTACTAATTCATGAACTACTTTGACAAAATGGTGTGTAGTGGGAAGAAGTAGTGCATGTGACCAGCTTCACTTTTTTTTTAAACTGATGAATAATGTGTCACTTGGACTGTGTACAGACTGAAGTCTGGGGAGAAAACACTGGGGAGGGGTTTGATACTGACTGTACATACAGTATGTCAATCAGAATGGGACTGGTAATGTCTTCACTGAAAAGAGAAATACCTTTGTAAGCACTACTTCAGAATTGTCTTCAAAATACAACATCTTTTATAAGAATGGCTGCTGTATTTCTTTTCGAACAATTTTATTTGCAATTAAGAAGGTTAAGATATTTAAAAGCAATCAATACATTAAAGAACTTCAATGTTCATTAAACAACATTCAGTACTTAACTGACCTATAGATAGACATTAAAATGTCACACAGGAGTTAATGACTTGTATGTACTAACATCAAAACATATCAGCTGAAAATTTGAACCAGAAACAGTGTATATGAAGGTAAAATCCAGCCCTGGAACTACTGGATACATCTAAATAAAACTAAAGAACCTGGAAAAAAAATAAACAGGAAGCTAACACTTTGATTTGAAATGAGCACAGCTGAACTACACAGTTTATGTTGACACAAACATCCTGGTTCTTCATTCCGAGAACTTTGACAGGATTTTTTTTTTTCAACTCAAAACAGGCTCCATCAGGGGAAAAACAAAGCATGCAATCCTCTTTTCACGCTCTGGATCTCTCCCTCTAGCTGCAAATGGAGCACAAGCACAAAGAAACAAGCAGGACAGTTTAAAAAGCTATAAATCACCATATGATTCTGAGGCAGACATACTTTCAGGGTTGAACGTAKGGTAAAAGCTTTCAGGAAAACATTCTTATGCTGACAGAGTGAAGGACACGGCATGAAAGACGGATTTGGAGGTCACTTATGTTTGTGTCTACTTACCATCTCATTGAGTAGGCCGTCCTGAACTGACTTCATCTCATTTCTTATTAGGCCCATCTAACAACAGGCAGAAAAATAATGGGTGAACAGTTGAAGGGAAAATTGTGGGGAAAAAAACAGTGATTGGACTTCTTTACCCCTTATATAAATATGACACCCCACAGCTACATTTAGGACTCACAGTATATTAGGCACACTGGAGTTACACAATGAAGCACAGTATAGATATGAGAGAAAATCTCACCTCTGATGTGAATACTCCCTCCTCATACTCTAGGTTCTGACGCACATTAGTCTGGAGGGCTTTCTTCAGGGTGTCATTTCTGGGAAGAAAGAGACAGACATTCATGCAAAGAAATCAGAAATAGCCCCCAAAAACATCAGAAAAAGTTGTGGAAAAAATGCAAATAAAAAAATATGCAAAGGGGAGCACAGAAAAAAATAATTCAAAAATTCAAAAAGTACAAAACCAGATTTTTTTTGAATAACATAATAATATAACAAATTCAAAATATTCCTCATACATTAGGTGTAATAATCTGCATATATGGTCAAATGCAAAGGCACCAAAAAAGCTTTAGGAATTTGAGGATAAATTTGCGTGTTTATATATATATATATATATATACAGTGGTTTGCAAAAGTATTCATACCCCTTGAACTTTTCCATATTTTGTCACATTACAACCACAAACATAAATATATTTCACTGGAATTTAATGTGAAAGACCAACACAAAGTGGTATACAATTGTGAAGTGGAAGCAAAATTTTACATGAATCAAAACATTTTTTACAAATAAAAAACTGAAAAGTGCGATGTGCAAAATTATTCAGCCCCCCTGAGTCAATACTTTGTGGAGCCACCTTTTGCTGCAATTACAGCTGCAAGTCTTTTAGGGTATGTCTCCACCAGCTTTGCACATCTAGTGACTGCAATTCTTGCCCATTCCTCCTTGCAAAACAGCTCAAGCTCAGTCAGATTGGATGGAGAGCGTTTGTGAACAGCAGTTTTGAGATCTTGCCACAAATTCTCAATTGGGTTTAGGTCTGGACTTTGACTGGGCCATTCTAACACATGAATATTCTTTTTTTTWAAACCACTCCATTGTAGCTTTGGCTTTATGTTTAGGGTCGTTGTCCTGCTGGAAGGTGAACCTCCGCCCCAGTCTCAAATCTTTTGCTGACTCCAACAGGTTTTCTTCCAAGATTGCCCTGTATTTGGCTCCATCCATCTTCCCATCAACTTTGACCAACTTCCCGGTCCCTGCTGAAGAGAAGCACCCCCAGAGCATGATGCTGCCACCACCATATTTGACAGTGGGGATGGTGTTTTCAGAGTGATGTGCAGTGTTCTTTCTCCACCACACATAGCGTTTTGCATTGTGGCCAAAAAGTTCAATTTTGGTCTCGTCTGACCAAAGCACCTTCTTCCACATGTTTGCTGTGTCCTCAACATGGCTTCTGGCAAACTGCAAACGGGACTTCTTATGGTTTTCTTTTAACAATGGCTTTCTCCTTGCCACTCTTCCATAAAGACCACATTTGTGTAGTGCACGACTAATTGTTGTCCTGTGGACAGTTTCCCCCACCTGAGCTGTGGCTCTCTGCATTTCATCCAGAGTCACCATGGGCCTCTTGGCTGCCTCTCTGATCAGTGATCTCCTTGTTCGGCCTGTAAGTTTAGGTGGACGGCCTTGTCTTGGCAGGTTTACTGTGGTGCCATACTCTTTCCATTTCCRGATGATGGATTGAACAGTGCTCCGTGAGATGTTCAAAGCTTGGGAAATCTTTTTATAACCTAAGCCTGCTTTAAACTTCTCCAAAACCATATTCCTAACCTGTCTGGTGTGTTCTTTGGACCTCATGATGCTGTTTGCTCCCCAATATTCTCTTAACCAACATCTGAGGCCGTCACGGAGCAGCTGTATTTGTACTGAGATTAGATTACACACAGGTGGACCCTTTTGAGTCATTAGCAGTCATCAGGCAACTTCTGAATGCAATTGGTAGCACTCAGGGAAAAGGGGGCTGAATACTTTTGCACGTCGCACTTTTCAGTTTTTTATTTGTAAAAAATGTTTTGATTCATGTAAAATTTTGCTTCCACTTCACAATTGTATACCACTTTGTGTTGGTCTTTCACATTAAATTCCAGTGAAATATATTTATGTTTGTGGTTGTAATGTGACAAAATATGGAAAAGTTCAAGGGGTATGAATACTTTTGCAAACCACTGTATATATATATATATTCAATACAGTCAAATGACTGTGTCTGCTAACCCATATTATGTATATAAAGAAAAACTGGCTGCACAAGCCAAATAGTAGCTTGCGCTTTGAAGTTAGTTTCTGATGATAATCCTGGGGAAAAAATGTTTTCCTGTCAAACCTTTTAATCCTTGTTCCACAGGATAAACAAGCATGTTACTCAACGTATTATCGAGTATTTGGGTTTAGCTTTGTGAGAACATCCCTGATCAGAGAACATGGCAACAGAGTTAACATGGCTCTTTCTGCGTTTACACAAACACACAAGTTTAAAATTTACCTCCCGGTTTCCTGCTTCTGGTAAGAATGGAAAGCCGTCACCTGCTTCTTCCACATCACCTACAAAAGAGATGAATAAAAAGAGATCAGATATTTAAAACACTCTTATCTAGCTGGTAAATGTTTGGTGAGACATTGACACTAGTTTCGACATTTTAGCTTCAAAATGTGCTTTTGTGTAGTAGAGAGGGCGGAGCCAAAGAACTAGTATCAGAAACCTACAGACAGATCTTTCTCCATGTTTTTCAGCATGCTGTCATCCTGCTCCATTTTATGGATCTCCTCCAAAAGGACATTTTGAACCTGTTCAAGCCTCTGGGTTCTGTGCAGAGAATAACAATTAACTAGTAAAGACAAATGTAAAAAGATGCCACCAGTTTCAGATTGCAGAAAGAGAACATTATATATTTGGGACCTATAAGAAATAAAAGTATTTTCTTTTCTACCAGAGTAAACTCAATACAGCCAGCCATAAAATAAAGTTTTGTTGCAACAAATTAAAATTTCACATGGATTTTATATTTCTAACAAATCAATTATAAAAAGCTTAATTTCTGGATAAAATTGTTTAAAAAATAGATACAGGGTGAGTCAAAAAATGTAAGACACCTTTTTATTGTAGAAAGAAAAGGAGAAACGACATATCTTAATACCCCAGTAAGAAATGGGTAAGGAGGCCTATCATTTAGGCTATGTCCAGAACATGGTCACAATCTTGAAAGCTGTCATACTGGATCAAGGGCAAGTCTATTCAAAGATAGGCCTTCTCACCCTTTATTTGCTCAGATATGCCACTTTTGTTTCTGAAATAAAGGTGTGTCCTGTGACTTTTGACTCACTCTGCACAATAACTGACCTGTATTTGGTGAGTTGTACATCAATGGAGTAGACATGTTGATTGACAGTCTTCCAAGACTGTTTGTTGTAGCGCTCCATCATTTTGCAACGGTTCTAAAAACAGTTTTTATGCAGGCGTTAAACAATTAAAAGTTAATCTTACAAAATAAGTGCTTTCTAAAACCTACAGTCACTTTGCAGTATTTTCAGTGATACTTGGTAATCATTAGGGTACAAACACACTGGCATAATAAATACTGCTGCCACATTTTTGTTCTGTTGTGTGCAAGTCAAACCTGGAATTTGTTTTTCAGCTCAGAGTTCATCTGCTGGCAAACATTGCTTGGGTTTAAACTCATTTCTGGCAGCTCTAAATCATCATCCATGTCCATGTCTCCATCCACCACTTCAACCTCCCAGTTACTGGAACTTATGTTGCTCAGTTCCTCCACAGCAGACACCTCAGCTACTGTAGACAACAAACACTTTCAGAATGGAGCTCAGCTCAGGTTTTTACAGTTTGTTGTTCTAACTTTAATCAAACAAAACATTTTTAATGAAACTACCCCAAATAGCTATAGTCTATAACAACAGCTCAAATGTTCTGCATAATTCCTGTTTGGTTTTCTCATGAGTTTTTCATGAAAAGGCACTATTTTCTGTTTACTGGTCTAAGCACTAATTTTACTGAATGCCTTACAGGATTTGAACAATTTCCTAGGCTTCATTCGAGGTGAACGGAGTGTTTTGATCTTGCTTTTCTTTTTGTTTTCCTTCTCTTCCTCTTCAGAATTACTGGATGATACATGACGCTTACGACTGGGTCCTGAAATCAAAGAAAAACAAAAAACTTGATCACACACACTGCACAACATTTTCTTATCAAGACATTCATAAAAGGTTTTCACTGAAATTTAGTGTCCCTTTTCAATACATTTGTGCTCATAATTTTTATTATAGCAATTTTACAATGAACTGCAAGTTTGTTTTTGTCCCTTGCTGTGGCGTTAGACAAAAGGCCACCAGGAAATCCAGAACCAAAAAACAAGAACAAATTACCTGAGATAAGAGACTGTGTGAGTTCAAGGTCTCTGTCGGTACCTGGTGTTTTCTGTCAGAAGGGACAACATTATGTTTGTCATTTGTTTGACGGCTACATATATTTTGAAATCATAACCTAGCCACTCATTCATGTTTCCTTCATCCATTCATTTATCCACCCAACTTAAATCAATCATAGAAACAAGAACGTAATTAAACCTCAGATTTGAGAAACTCAGTTATGGGAGCAGAGGAGTTGTTTTTCTTTTTTCGGCTGAGTGTTGATGACTTGGAGGATGAATGGCTCAGTGAAGCCAGGGAAACTGAAGACACTTTGTGGAAGTCAAGGTGGCAGCTGTAGCTAACAGTGTCTTCAGGTAATGGCGATGAAGAAGGAGAGGCAACAGGTGGCTTGTTCAGCTCAAGCAGAGTAGAAGTCAATAGGGGCTGAGTGGGTGGAGATAAAAGAGCCTGAATTGCAGAGGACAGATCTGCGTGCATCTGGAAACAAATAATTTAAGGAAGAGATAGTGACAATATAACAAGAGACACAAAGGAATTTGGCAACCTATTGTGGTAACCTAATCACGTCTGCCTTGGATTAGTAAAATGACATACATTTTCTATAGTGCGTTAGGAAGCACAGATGAAGCTCAGCAGATATTTTCTGCTCTGCTAGACCTTCAGAAATCATGCTATCAATCGTACAATTCAGCTGTTCAAAACACCCTAATTCCAAAAATGTCTACATATTTATGTGATATTTTTACCAAAGAACTGCTCAAATATCTTATCCCCATAGATTAGTTAATTTTAACAATTAATTTATTTTAACAGGAATTCCATGTTGGTCTAAATAACAACTCAAGAGTTTGAGAATCATTACAACACAATTTAAACAGTAAAAGTGATGGTTCAGGAAGCAAAATATTATTTTCCTTCCTAAATTTTCTTATCTGGTCTAAGAATTCTATTCAGTCATGTTTAGGTCTGACACCAACTTCCATGATTTCTAGATTACCATTGAGAAGACTTTCAGTCATTTAATTATTCACACAACCATCCATTTTATTCCAGTGACGCTCTCACCCGCCTGTCAAGTGACGTCCATGACTTACATGTGGAGCAAAGGTATATGAATCACTCAAAGATGCTAAATTCCAGAGTCAAAGATAAGCTGTTAAATAATTTCAAGAAAATGGATTCAATTTACTCATGACAACGGACATAAATCTGAAGCTGACATAAGTGAGGATTCTCCTACAATACTGAGACATCTCTACATACTAACTTACTTTAATTATGTTTTTTATCACTTTACAACTGTCCCACTATTTTTTAAACTCAATAAAAGTTATCATGAAGGTTAATGTACCTCTGCTGCACTAGGTCCAGAAGGACTGGGTGCAGGGGTTTGATCTTTCGATGAGCAGGAAGAGGAGACAGACCGGATGAACTTGGTTTTGGATGAGATGTGTTTCTCTGCTTTGTAGAGAGAAGACGTTTTGCCTTTTCTTTTACTGCTGACTGTCGAGCGAGGTTTGGTTAGCAGCGGGACTGGTGAGGGGGTTTCCTGGCAGGGAGGCTTAGGGGAGGCAGAGAGTGGGGATCCCCACGGGGTGAGGACAGTGGAGCAGGTCAAATGCATGGCTGGAGCTGACCTCCCAGCAGCTGTGAGGATCCAAAATAAACACAGATGTTCAAACAGCTGGATTCAGAAATTGGACAAAGTGCAAAAGGTCAAAATACACCCTTTTCTACATAATGATTTACAGTTAAGAATTTCTGAGGAAAAGGGATTTCTTTTCAATATGTACAAACTGAGATAACTTAAGGTATGCACAAAGACTTAGTGGACTAAAATATGATAATACTTTACATAAAATTATTAAAATTCTAACAAAAACATGTCAAAATACTTTGATTTACTAGATGTCAAAGGGAGCGATCAAGTATTAATGTGGCCATGTACTGAATGAACTGAAACCACATGACCAACCATGAACTGTTTAGCAGTCATTAGCTGATGTCAAGAGTCAAAAAACTGCCGTCTAACTGATGTTGAAGAGTAGAGTTTTCACAGAATCTTACATCTCATCTTTTCTATGAAAGGAGGCGATGGACAGGAAGAGGTTTGGCAGGCAGCCGAGGAATCCTTCAAAGGACTCATCTGTTCTTGTGTAGGGATGAAATTTTTCTCATTCAACTTTGAAGTTTCTGGAACATTTCCAGGTTTAACCTGCTGAAAAGGGTGCTCTTAATTCTCTGATACAGAAAACAAACAAAACTCATTCCCACCCCAATGAGTAAGATCTAATATGTAAGATCAAAACTATGGCTCATTCATTCCCAAAACAAATGAAAAAGAGATTTAGTCAGAACTCAACAAACATCATCAACTGGTCAATGTCATTTTCAAAACTTAACACATTTTTAAAATTTGCAAACGGAACGTTCAAGATCTAAGACAAAACTTCCACCTTAAGGTCAGGTTGCTTTTTCAGGTTTGACCCAGTGCAGCTGTCTTGTCTTCTGCAGCTTTCTGCAGGCTGGTCAGGGAGGTTGTTTCTCTTTTTAACTTGTGGATTCTCTGAACAGATTATCTCGCTGTTGTCATGCTTCCCCACATATCGAGTCTGTAGATTGGCATCCCAAATGTTAATGCAACTATTCCCACAAGACAGTCTCAGGTAAGATAAGACTCTAACACAGCAAATCACAGTAAAAGACTGGTATTTCAAGGTATATATAAATGTCATTTAGAATAAAAAGGCCTCTACCTTAGAGGTGGTTAGTATTTCTGATGTAGGGTGTAGCTTCATTTTGGTTGGCTGTCTGCCTGCAGTTATTTTCTTCTTGGTCTGAGTAGTCTCTTGAATTGTCACATCATTCTTCAATTTTTTCAGTAGAAAAAAACAATTTTTAAAGAGAGAAAAAAGATGGTTTGTTATAAATCTGACTAACCCATGTTGTTTTTTGTACTCGAAAAGTCAGTATTTAATGTAAACTATTTTCAGATTGTTTACAAGTATATATGTTTCTAAAGTTATTGTTGCTTAGTGTTTATTAAAATTTTGCAACATATTATTCCAGATCAATGTATTTTGTGTAAAAGCGCTAGAACCACATTGTTTTGGAACAGCAAATGATTTTCAACATTTCAGAGGTTAAGGCCATGCCTGTCACTGCAAGTTAAAGCACTACCAACAATACATTTCTAAAATAGTTGTTTGTAGAGAAAGCAAATTTTATCTGATTGATGCTTAGGTAAAATATTTTGTTTAAGAAAAAACACGTCATTTGCAAGCAAAAACAGAACATCAGCATGAATACTTTTGGCAAACTCAGTTTTAAGAAACAAAACAAAACAAAAAAAAAACCCACAAGAAATAAGAGACATTATTTGCCTTTGGTGCAGGAGCCTCCTCTGTTTCAGACTGGCTGTCATCAGTATCTGGTTCTATGTAGCTTTTAGTTGAAACTGCTGCCACTCTCTTAGGCCTGCTGCCAGCTGCACAAGGTCTGCTGAGTGCTGCTGCTTCTCTCTCAGTCTTTGGTTGAACCTGTGCCTTCTTTAAACAGAAACTCTTATGATACAACAGCGACACACCGTGGTTAAATGAAGTAATGCTCGACTGGCATACAGAAATCCTGTGTGTTTACTATTAAAGCTGTCTTACTTTCCTGGGCCTGTTGACTTTTTTTGCAGCTGGGAGAACGTCTGGGGATTTGCCTGCAAATATGTATATAAAAAATAGTATAATGCACTGTTGTGGTAATGAGATTGCTACAATTTGTAAGTGATAGATTAAAGAGTGTGAGACTGAATCTAGTTTTAATAACATACTCATTGACTGGGGAGGGGCGGATTTGGGTTTGGACAGCACTTGTCTTGTATATTTGGCAACTTGGGGTTTGGGCTTTCTGGATGATTCCCTGAGCCAGCTGACCTCTGTCATGGCAGTGTCTGTGTCTGTGTCACTAAACAGGTGCTTTCTCACGTGTCGCTTGTTCTGCAACACACAAAACAGACGAAGACAGATATAAATGTGTCATTCTACAGTATATAGGCAAACAAACAGCAGATAAATGAACATAACACCACAAACAGAATTACAATAAAACTTCCTTGTATTACTTAAATAACAGTAAAATACAATGACAATATACTTTTGCCACTGGTTCCAGTTGYGCTTTCTTGGCTGTACTGAGACCTGTTGGAGAACTCTGGATGCCACTGTCAAACATAAGAAATACTAAATTAAACTTATTTTAAAACAAATCACTTAGAATCAGTGTGTGTATTCTTTGAAAAATACTTTCTTCACCCTTTCTGATAAACTAATGTACCTGTTTGATGTGTCTAAAGTTTTGTTGAAGATTTTTTTCTCTGCCTAAAGTTAAATTTAACACAGTTAAACATTTACAGTCATAGTTTATGAACTTAAAACACATCGATACATGCAAAACAGTAGAAATATTTACCCCAACGAAGACGGGCAAATCAACGTTGAATGCAAATACGTCTTTTCTGCACAATAGAAAATGACTTTAGATTACGCTTTGCAAACATTTAATATTGCAAGCCATGAATTCATCCAAATGTCTTTGAAATCATTATACAGACTTGTATTACCTTTGTATGGCAGCGTTTGTGGGTTTGTTACAGGATTTCCTTGGGCTCACAGCTTTTGGCACTGTTTTCTATAATAAAAAAAACATATTCAGTAAAACAAGTTTGTAAAACCAGCATATTTAGTGTTCCTTAAGTCTAGATGTTAATGAGACAATGATCACTTACTTTGCCAGATGAATACACCTTCATATTGAAGAGAGGTCTATTGCAAAGATAAAGTAAACACTATTTGGCCTTTTTCTTTCAATATTTTTTTCATTAATTACTGTAGACAAAACAATCTAGCCTTGTATACCGTACCCTTTTACAAGAGAAGGAATCCAGTTCTGAACATTTTTTTCTATAGAGCCTTTTGCTGTGGACCTGGTGGAAACTTCATAATGACTCGAGATGACCTTCATCATGCTGAAAGTAACACTTGCATCTCTCTAAGTAGAAATAGAAAAGAGAATGTCATGGACAAACAAACAAGCAAAAAAATAAATAAATAAATTGAAAACTATGTAGAATCCTAAAAAGCTTTTCATTTGTTGGACAAGCGATCCAACTTATGTAAATCTTACTTCTTTTTTGTTTGAAAGGGCAGTTTCATCTTTGTCCTTGGTTTCTTTTCTGTCCTGCACTTTTTTAGCTGAGGATGTCTTCACTGAAGTTTTTCTTGGAACTGTGTCTGCCTTCAGTGACGTCTGACCTTTACTCTCTCCATAGCTCTGATTGTTTTTCTGAACGTGTTGCACTTTGGGAGTGTACAACGAAGAATCACCCACGCTTTCCGAGCTTTTGTGTTTTGTGTTTCCTTTGGTATTAGATGTTTTTGTCGGAAGTGCAGCTGCTGCTTCGTTATTAATATCTTTCTTCTTCTCAATGAGGACCTGTTCCAATCGCTGGGTCAGTTCACTATGAAGTTGCTTTTGAAATTTGAGACTTGAGTCTGAAATTGACAATTTGCGAGCGGAGGACGGACGGTGTTCCAGCTGTTTCACCACACTAGAATTAGACTCTAAAGAGGAAAATAGGAAATAAAATAAATCAAAAGACACACGTGCATCTTTTTTTCCCCAGTTTGCTTCACGACTTCAAAGTTTTACCAACAACTGAGTCCTACTGAAGATATTTTAAGTGTAATTTAATTACCAGGTCTTGGCGAAGATACGATTTTCTGTGTTGACATCATTAGCATTTCAGAAACTGAGAATTTGTTCCAACTAGAAGATCTGTAATTTGAACAGACAGAGTGATTCAGACACATTTTTTTCAATATACTTTCTGTATGCACACATACATTAATACTATATTAGAAACCTAGCAGCCAAATCACAGAAGATTTGCAAACATGCCGACGGTTTTTCACTTGACTCACGTGCTACATCCTGCTTTGGGTTGTGTGTCAGGTATATAGTGCTCTGTAAATAAAAACATTAAGACAGCTTTAAAATGCTTAAAAATCTAAAAAGGGCTGTATTTAGGAAAATGCAAAAAATCTTTTTGAGAACAAAATACCCTGAGACTTTTCTTCTCCTTGTCCAGATACAACCACATGTTCTGCTTGAACTATTGGCATCTTCTGCAAAACAGTCAGATACAACAGAATAATCCTTTTTATTTGTTTAACACACAATTTTCTTTTATACTGTTGGTTAAAGATAAAAAAATATATCATGTAAGAACACTTAAATACTTATAGCTATACATTTCAGGTCTTACAAAATGTTCAAATCCATACACTGTGATTAAAACATAAGAGGGTAATAAAAGAAGCAGACCACAGTAATTTGACTTGTGTGTTCGCCACTCTTACATTCTCTGCTCTGTTGCAGTTCATGTCTACCAATTGTGCCCCACTAAACTATTGTGAACTTGGAGAAAACTGTAAAATAATTGCTTTTACTTTAAGATTATTTTCAATGTGATAATCAGTTTGTAGACTGTGCTCCGCAGAGACGATTCACATAGAAACATTGGAATTACTTGGACATTTCAAAAACACATTCAAATCAGAGTTTGAATGTAAAATGTCTGAATTTGATTTCATGATTGAGTGCTATTCTGATATCAAAACAATAGAGTATTTTTAACTCAAGTACATGTTAAGTGACAAACCTGCTCTTTCATGCCAACAGCATTTGTGTTGCTTGGGGTTGTGCTGTAGTTGCAGCGCCTGGCGTTTGTGTCACRTGAACAAATCTTCTCCAGAGAAGTCTTGTCTTTGTCTTTGGCTGAAGTAACCGAAGGAGAAGAAAATCAAAATGCAGTCAATCAAGTACAAAATAATGACATATTTAAAAAAGGTGTAGGTTTTGGTAGTCTTTCAGGAATTGGTGAGAGTACAAGGTGATAAATTTATACTTCAAGTGGCGTGACAACAATACCAGACAAGGTTACATACTTGACAGCTTTAGTGCAAGAGAACCGATACTATTCGCAGAACCTCCTTCACCGATGCTTATATAAGCAGTGGCCTCTGACATACTCCTTTTGGCAGGAGTCACCATCTGAAATCAGAAAGTGTGTGAATCTTTTGTGTGGCCAAGTTAATGTCTGAACATTCCAATACACTAACGTAACTTCCTAAAGATTGGGATTTTTTAATAGAAATGACCAACAAAAATTACGATTGTAAGAAGTCCACAGTGTCAGTTGTTTTTTCAAGTATTTTTCAGGGAAAAATAAATGTCACCAGAAGCTTAAACCTTATAAATCCTCCAAAATCTCCACACACATATCACTGTTACAGTATGAGGTTTTTGTTGAAATTCAACAAAGCCAAGAATTAATTCATATTTAAGTTTAACACAGTTACATGAAGAACTTCTGTATTGTGCTAAAATATAAAACACATAATCCTTAACATTGATTTTTTTTTTATTTAGAATCCAAATGTTTTTACTTGTGCATGTGCAGCTGGAGCAGATAAAACATATGGTACTGTGTTTTTCTCACTTTCACCAAGGGACAACTGGCTTTCTGGAACAACCTGTGTCAGAGCAGCATGCAGCACATATGGACACAGTTACTAAAAACTCAACCTATCTTAAAAGGTCTGCAGAAGATTCAGCTAATGCCTACTTAGTACACTGTGCTATTTGTATCATATTAACACCTTGAGCATATCCTGTCAGTAAACTCAGATTTTTTTGGAAGTCTGTGCTTACCTGGGTGCTGTTTTCTTCTATCATAGTTTTACCTGCAGTTTTCACTACCAGCATGTGCTGCCAAAAGAGACACTGGTTAATACCCAATGTTAAATGTATTCAGACCACATGTATTTCATAAAGGTCTAGCTTTAAAAAATAGCTAAAGAGCCCAGATTTCTCATTCTGGTAATTTGCAATTGACTATCCTGGAACATGTAAATATAATGAGTTTCGTTGTCAATAAAAATGAAGTGAATAGGTTTCTTACTTTGTTTTTCATTTGCCCAAAGACATTTTGAGCAGCTTGTGGAATGTCTAGAGAGGAGCTGAAATGGATGGTAAGGTTGGATCCCTCCACAGAACCGACGACCACTACCTCTGACAGCTTTATCTGCAACACCTGAGTCTTGTCTTTCTCTGAAGATAAAGATCAGCATTGCATTAAACTGTATTAGAACAAACATTTAGAGGACATGATCACTCTAGACAAAGGTAAAACTACTATAGTTTACTGAAGGAATCTTATTTAAACTGTTTTATTTTGTCAACCAGCTAAAACAAAGATATCAAGTATCCACAGCAGGTAAAATAAGTATTGAACACGTCACCATTTTTCTCAGTAAATATATTACTAGAGGTGCTGATGACATGAAATTTTCACGAGATGTTGGTAACAACCCAAGTGATCCATACATACAAAGAAATCAAACCATAAATGTCCAGAAATAAAGTTATTTGTAATAATGTGGAATGACACAGGGAAAAAGTATTGAACACATGAAGAAAGGGAGGTGTAAAAAGGCATGGAAAGCCAAGACACCAGCTGAACTCTCTCAGTAATTAGAAAACAAGCCTGCCCCTTGTCAGTGCAAATTAACATCAGCTGGTTCAGACCCAGATGATGGCCAGGTATCACACAAGAAACATCTGATGATGGGTAAAAGTAAAGAGCTCTCTCAAGACCTTCACAACCTTATTGTTGCAAAGCATAATGATGGCATCGGTTACAGAAGAATGTCTAAACTTCTGAATGTTCCAGTGAGCACTGTTGGGACCATAAGTCCGAAGTGGAAAGAACATCATTTCACCATAAACCGACCATGACCAGGTGCTCCTCGCAAGATTTCTGACAGAGGAGTGAAAAGAATTATCAGAAGAGTTGTCCAAGAGCCAAGGACCACTTGTGGAGAGCTTCAGAAAGACCTGGAATTAGCAGGTATGATTGTTTCAAAGAAAACAATAAGTAATGCACTGAACCACCATGGCCTGTATGCACGCTCACCACGCAAGACTCCACTGCTGAAGAAACAGCTCTTTTTATCCACAGCTGACCTGCTAAAAATGACAGATTTTCTTTTCTGGATCTCTGACAGACGGACTTCAATCTCTGAACTCCTAAAGTTTTTATTTTTTTAGTTTTCGCTGTCATTTTTCATGAATGAACACTTGTATCTGAGGTAGGAAACACAGCCTTATGGTGTTTTTGGGGTGGTAATTATGCAAATCTCCTCTCATGTGCACGAGCAGCTGGATACGAACAGGTGGAAATTACGCAGCTCATTTACACCCTTTTCTTGAAGATAGAAGAGTTTGTTGAATCTGACGTGACATGTTCGTACGAACCCTTCATACAAACAAAAGTAAGAGAAATTTAGGATAAGAATACGAACATGTTCTTGCATGAGGCCCATTGAGCCCAAACACAAAGCCAAGGAAACTCTCAGTTGGTTTCAGAGAAAGAAACTAAAGCTGCTGGAATGGCCCAGCCAATCACCTGACCTGAATCCAACAGAAAATCTATGGAAAGAACTAAAGATCAGAGTTCATAGAAGAGGTCCACGAAACCTTCAAGATTTGAAGACTGTTTGTGTGGAAGAATGGGCCAAAATCACACCTGAGCAATGCATGCCACTAGTTTCTCCATACAGGAGGAGTCTTGAAGCTGTCATTGACAACAAAGGCTTTTGTACAAACTATTAGATAAATTTCAGTAAGCGTGTTCAATACTTTTTCCCTGTGCCATTCCACATTATTACAAATAACTTCTTTTCTGGACATTTATGGTTTGATTTCTTTGTATGTATGGATCACTTGGGTTGTTACCGACATCTGGTGAAAATTTCATGTCATTAGCACCTCTAGTAATATATTTACTGAGAAAAATGGTGACGTGTTCAATACTTATTTTACCTGCTGTATATAGTTAGAAATGTCTGTAATTTACAAGGTTCTTGTCTAGCTTTTATTGTATGATTAGATGGATGGATTGCCATAATACACTTGATGTATGATTGTGTAAATAGTTGCAGTTGTTTCTGTGTTTTGGTTACCTGTGACAGTGTAGCTTTGGACTTCATTCTCATTGATGCACAGTGTTTCCCAGTGGCCCTCCTACATTATAAAAAAAAACATAGTTTGTTAAACTCTAACTAATGTTGACCTTTTATAAGAATATATCGATGGAATCTTTTGAATGTGAAAGTTTAAGACTCAGATGTAAATTATCTTGGGGCACTAGTACCTCTTCATCAGGCAAGGAGAAGTAGAAAGAGATGCTGTGGCTGCAGAGATTGAAGTCAATCCAGAATTCCTCCAGCTTCTCATCCAAGGGCATCAGCAGCTAACAAGACAACCACAATCTGTTTACAACATCTTACAGGCTTTAAGATGACAGAACAGATTGTAACATACAAGCCAACATGCCTGAAACATAAAGGAGCTGCTAATTATACAACAAAGGGTAAGTATTTTAGATAACAGGATTGTTCTTTGTTACTAGATGGTTGGAAATTAAATGAAGCTGTGCTTTTTTCCCCCTCACGTTTCAATTCATAGAAATCCTGTTGTTACTGACCTCATACTTGCCCAGATAAACTTCCAAACAAGGGTAGGAGTACACTCTGCAAACAGAAAAAAGACTTAATCTGAAAGATGTTATTAACAATGATGCAAGTGCATTAAATGTAATAAAAATATATAGAGTTGTCACTTTTCTGTGGATTGCATCAACTCTGTTACATTACAGAAGGGCAGCTTCACTGACGTGAAACGTAAATCTGTGGATCTGTGTTTGATTACTCTGGCTGGCTTTCTCAAGGACCCGGATTTGTGGAACAAAAATCTGAATTTTAGAACTGAAACTGAATTATGAAACTGAAAGTAGTCACACTGATTTTTTTAATCGAACAAAATACATTTTCAAAGCAAATTAATTCAAATTCTAAACTTTAAATTCAGTTTCAAACCATTAAATTCAGTTTCAGTTTAGTGAAATTCATTTTGAAACCAATGCATTCAATTTCAAATTTTGCACATTCAGATTCAATCTGAGCAATTCAAATTCAGTTCCTGCTGGCACAAGATTTATCCCACAGAAAAGCAACTGCTAATATAAATAAATATTCAATTTTAACCTCTTGAATTTCTAAGTGTAAAAAAGAGACTTTTCTGGTTCACTTGTTTATGCTTTAGCAAGTGCTGACCTTCTTTTGTCTCCCTGCATCCCATTCACCATGTTCAGAAATTTGCGGCAAGCCTAAAAAAAAAATCACATTATTCACAAAATTGTATGTAATTATTAATACAATCACAACAAATTGACCAAGTAATAATGGACACTAAATAACTATAAATGTCAAATTTTACCGTCTCAAACTCTGAATCACTGATCTGAGCAAAAGCGTTGGCCACATGCGCCATGCTGAACCACCGATCTGCAAGCTTCTTCCTCTGACTGTAAGTGGCCATTCGACATAATGCTTCCATCAATGATGACTGCAAATCATAATCTGAGGGGAGAAAAAAAAACGACTTTCTGTATTTATTTTGATCAAAAAGACAGTAGAGTTTCTAAGATAAAAACATAAAATAAAAAAACAACTAACCACCACCCTCCAATATTCGAGAAGCCAGTTTGGTCCTGCAAAAAATAAAACATTCATGGGTTGAACAGAACGCAGATATTTTCCAAAGTAGTATTACTAGTCTTTGGTATAAACAAAATACCCCTACATACATGATATCTGAACCCTCTTGTGACGAAAGGATCCTTCTGTTCTTCTTAAACTCCACCGGGATTTTGTCCAGGATCAAGTTATATTTACGAATTGCCTGGTAGAGTTTTATTATGAAGTTAGTTTATGAAGATGCTTTTATCAAGGAATGTCCCCAAGAGAAATAGATATGTAAAGTGTTTCAAACCTCTTTCTGAATCAGGATGTAGATTCTGGGGTCTACAGCCAGCTGTCCGACAGGATACAGGAAGGACTCGGTGACCTTGCAAGTTCCTGAAAAAAATAAATAATTAAATAAATATTAAAACATCATAAGATAAATCTCTATGATTTGATTAGACAGTGGCTTCACACAAGTGAAATTACATTTTATACATATATTGACACATACTGTATACTGAAGGGTAGACTTAAAGTCACATCTTAGTAAACAATCTAGATATTCAGATAGAGCATTTAGTCATTAACTTTGTAAATCTCTAACTGAATACATGATATACGGTATATAGAGTACGAATTGAAAATTAATAAATGTATAAGTATACCCTCTTTGGAAGACTCGTGAACTCCCTGCAGAAGAAGGAAAGAGAATACAAGACTCAAACTGAGTTCAAAAAGGGATGTTAATTTATAAAATGTATTTAATATTAGACATGAACTTACCATTAAGACATTAAAAAAGTTCTCAGAGAGTGTAAGCATAGTCTCATCCCATTGTGGGCCATGGTCGATCCACAGTTGCTGGCATTTCTCAAACCACTGCATCATGTTCGCAGAAAAAACGTTTACGTTAAAACCTAGAAATATTTGCATATTAGGTCATCATGTTCTGTGTACTTGTATATAATAAATGTTTACTTATCTTCTTAATAAGTCCTTGATTTAACAAAACTGAGAGTCCTTGACCACCAGGTAGTTTCAGATTTTTTCCATATTTGTGGATACTGGCAAGACTCAAACTGGCTGTTCTAGCATCTTTTTGATCCAATCTCTAAAGAATATACATATTTATAATAAGTCAAAAACACACAGTATCTTAAGGGCTGGTCAGTGTGTTGGGCTTCATCTTACCGTAGTGATGAGCTTATCCAATTTGGAGAGAAACCTTTGGGAACATTTCATGGGGGTTTCTTCATCACTATCCAACTCTAAGATTGATCCAAGTGTTTGGACATTTCCACTCTTTAACACTTCATCGATTGCATTCTCCAGCTGCACACAAAAAAAAAGTGTTTTCTTAAAGGCTTGAACACTTTACATGCAATATTGGGCTAATGTAACGTAAAATTGGTGAAATCATGTCCAACCTGTCCACTTTGGCTTGGAGGCATTCTTACTTCTTTGAAGAAGCTTCACCACACATGCGCAGTCCCGACTGATACCGAAACCATAAACCTGCCGTTCAAAACGTTTAGTTTATAAACATTTTTATGCCTATTATACAATTCAGAATCTGGTGGATGAGATGGCCACTGAGCTACAAAACAATATTTAAAATAACCTTCCTTTTAATCCACATATTATGCCATATTCCACCTAAAATAAGCTTATGTATGATGGCGTATTATTTCAATCTACTTTTCAGCTAGCTTAGCCTTAGCGATAGCTAATGCTATAGTAGCCAACTTGTCTAAAATACTTTACAACAACAACGGTCAGCAGGCTCTAAACGACAAAAAATGGTAAGAAAATATCTTTAGATTTTTTTATTATTATGGGTTACTTACTGGGTTGTAAAATTTCACTGAAAAAGCTGAGGTGTGTATGTTATTTCTTCCGACCGTTTCTCCGCCCTTCAAAATTGCTCACAGGAAACGCGCCGCGCGAAGACGTTGATGTCAAGCGCGTGCTAGATGGATGGAGGTGTTGTATCGAATATTGTGACCCATAACTATATGGACCCATTCAGGCTCAGTGAATTGGCCAATAGATCCAGTTTATAGACGGAGCCCAATAATGTAGTTTCAGAAATGATTTATCACACTTGTCTGCAGCTTTTTAATGTTAAATTTACCACAATGATAAGTAAATGATATCATTGATTACACCAGTTTGTAGCTTTATCAACCAGGCCACAAATTAATCTGGTTGGATTCTAAAATGTGTTCGCACAATATTTATGAAAATGCATGATAAACAAACCCACAGACACATTAAAAACAAAATGTCTGCAATAGCATCATAGTGATTTATTTGTTGTTGAAATATAAACAATCAATCTGTGTAAATCCAGCAGAAAATAGCCAAACAACAGTGATCATAAAATGTGACTTTATTTTTATTTCTTAAAAATACAAATGATGGCATGAAAATGGCTCGTCAAAGTTTGTTATTATACATAAACAACCATTTCTAATTTGTGGGAAAAAATTATTTATTATGCAGTGCTCTGTTTGAAAATATCTATATCAAAAATAAATTATAGAAACAGAAATAATTTGGCACATCAAACCAAATTTCTGCATCGTATTAAATAATTTGCTTTGTTGGATATCCTGTTGCGAGTCAACAGTAAACTGAAGTCTGTTCATTTCCGTTTCACAGAACAATTATCTGTTGCTGCCATCATGAAGTGTTTTGCTTTTTCTGTTTTATTTTAGAAACTTTCATTATCCAGTGCAATTTTTTAAACTTATTTGTGCTCGTTCTTTTTACTCTGGTTACGAGTTTGCAAGAGTTTAACTCCAATCCAACTTAATGTTGCTGCTAACAAAATTAAGAAGCTGCTTTGCAGTTATTTTTAATTCTACTAACAGTCATAAAGTGCTCAAAATAAATTTATTTGACATTTAGTGTGCATCCTAAATGAAATGCAGCATGCTATCTTCACATTCTTTAGGCACAGTGAGTTTGTAATTTTGGCAGAGTAATTTATAATTTTTCCCATCATTGTTGTCCCAGTATTCAGCTCCATTAACTTTGTATTGAATGGCAAACTCTAAAAATGCTCCAGGACACAAGAATGGAGGGACTGGCAGATGGAAACGAAACGTGTCGCAGCTGAATTCCCCCGCTCCTCCTTCCCAGGTCTTGGTGATGCTGGACACCCAAGTGGCCTTAGCTTCAGCTGAACTTTTCCACTCTGTGAATGAATACCGAACTGTGACATCCTTCTCAAAGTGTAAGTTGATGACATGTGTGATTCCAACAATCCCAAGTTCAAAACACAAGACTCTCTCAAGACAGACTTTCTGCTCTTGAAGGCGGTGCAGGAATCCTGGCTGGTCGCCAGGTTGTTTGGCAAAGTCTGGCTTCAGGTACGGCAATGAAATCTCCAAGTGCTTTCCATCTGCCATTTCGGCACCCATCAGTAATCTAAAGCTGACATGATGCGGCACAAATGGATCCTCGCCCGATTCGAAAACCCTTACGTCTTCCAGGTCCAGTCCCAACGAATCAACAAACCTAACGCCGACGCTTCTGCACCGCTTCTTTTTCTTCTCTGTGGCAGAAGGCAGGGAGCGTGACCGTTGTCGGATGATGGGTTTAGGCGTGGGTTCGTAGGAGAGAAAACGGTGGGACTCTTGTTCTTTTGGCAGGGAGACTCTGGGGCTTGGCGGACGAATTGGAACAGGCTTCCTTGTGGCATTGGGTTTGTCAGCTTGAAGCATTTCAGTCAAGTTAATAGTCATGCGAGGCCTTGAGACACTGCTGCTGCTGGGCATCGGCTGTTCAGATTTAGTGGGAAGTATCCTGGCATGGTCTATGAACCACCCCCTATCCATTTTCAGAAAGGACTGTGCTCACCTGTGAAACAACATACACAAAAAACAAAACATTTGTGACGCAGGATGAGTTGTGGTTACACTCACCCCCTTAAATTTACTCTAATCTAACACAGGATGAACCAACGTGACATTTATTTACAACATGGATGGATGAAAAGCTGATATAAAACTGTCAGAAATAGTGGGCGTGTACTCTGTGTGAGTACGTGACAGAACGCACAGTCTTATTTTTGACAACAGATTTGTAATGTCTCAATAGCTTTAAATGTTGATATTACCTCACCATGGAGCGCAGGTTGAAGTGAAAAGCTAAAGCCTCCATTTAAAGTAATATTTCACAGAGCTGTGGGTTTTTCCCTGTCATGAAGACGCGGTTGTTTTCAAGCATGTTAGCCTGATTTGTAAGTACTACGAGCTGATATAAACGTAACCTGAAGCTGATGGAGATCAGCTAAACAGCGCGCAGTTAACAGGAAGCAACGTAGCCTACCATTTCACCGACGTCTCATGGGTAAATGAGTAAATTTTACGGCAAAGGTTGCGTTTATGTCAATATATTTATTATTTCTTTTCACAGAAACGATGCCAACCATTTCTAAGACCCGATTCAAATTTTTACAGCTGGAAGAAAGCTATAAAAAACTGCGTTTGGTGTTGATTTCAATATCAATACGGGACGTTTGTACTACAACTCCCATGATGCACCTGTGCAGCTCACTTCTACGGCAGCAGCGAGCCAGTCGAAGCAAGTAAACAAACCCTTCTCTGACAGGGGAAGGCGAGTCAAACAAAGCGTCTGCGCCGTTTTTTTATTTTTATTTATTTATTTATTTTTTACCTTGTTGCATATGTGAAAAGGATGACAGTCGAAACAGACGAGCCTCTGTTGTCGACAGTTATTTAAAATATCCGAACAGCGACGCAGGTCGACGACGAAAACAGTAGTAGGACGTGTGCAGCAGAGAGGAGACGCATCCTCGCACGATGCATTGCAGCACACTGGAGAAAATGGGTTATTTTAGTCATGTCCTCAGAGTCGAGTGTCTGATCAGAGATGTCGGCTGGCTTCTTCAGCTACCGTCGGAGGAAAAAAAATAGTAAAAAAAAAAATAATACTGCACTGGACTGAAAGACTACATCCTCCCTTGCTTGATGCAACATCATCATGGGACCCATCATGCAGGAACGCACGGCATCCACAACTCTGAAGCGCGTCGTTTCCAAGGAGAAAATACGAGTTAAGAATACCGAAAATAGCGGATCAGTACCTAGGTAGGCCTTGTTTTAAACTATTTGTTCTATTATTGACACACAAAAAATGTATTGAACACACAAGCTTGACAAATTACTGTTTCCACAGTTCAAAGAAAAGTAACAAGACGAAGAAAGTGGTGAGTCCAATGAAAAATTGCCTCCCAGGACCAGGTCTGGATAAGGACACAACGACACCACTGCATAGGGTATGCGACTAACACTGTGATGAATTTGAGTTAGATAACTGAACTTATGAAAGGGACAGGTCCTCAAACTTTAAAAATGACAATAGAGAATAAACTTAAAAGTATATAGATAATTCACATCATGTAATATTGGCCCAATGTAATAGAATATGGTTATTATTATTTATTTTTTCTTATGACAAAACAGGAAACAGCTACTCCTTCAGTTCTCCTGCATTTACTGGTCTTGAGGGAAAAAAGAAGAGGGTGTGGGGTGTGTGTGTGGGGGGGGGGGCGTCTGTGACACAACACTGCATGCTGTTAACATCACAGTACATGTGCGTTTTTAGTCACAGTACAAATTACACACAGGCTGATTCCAGACAACCCCCAGGTACAGGACAGGTAGTTTGTGAAACTGAACTGATGGGCCACTTGTATTAAAACAGAGTAAAAAAAAGTAACATAAACGCACCCCGACTAGGCCAGTTGTTGAACAAATACTGTTAGTTTGAAATTATTTCCATGACTTTTTTTTTCAAGATTCAAGAGTTTATTGTCATTGTAAAAAAAAAAAAGGGGGGGCAATGAAATTGTGTTTGGAGTACAACACTCAGTGGTAGTAGCAGATATCTAAGTAAAGTGCATAAGAGGTAAGAGTGACACCAGGGCTTGCACGCATGCATTTTACAAAATATAAATGAGTAAACGGCTCCCAAACCCCACTATAATAAATAAGTAAATAGGTAAGTAGCCCCAGTAATTAAATAACCCTAATGTAAACATTAGACAGTGATATTTCTCAACAGTCCTGTAAATTTCAAAGTCTTATGGGCGTATAGGCTGTTGGCCACTCTTTTAGTCCGGCTCTGTAGGGAGCTGTACCTTCTACCTGAGAGTAGCTGTTGAAACATGTGATAGGCTGGATGGCGGCAGTCATGCAGGATGTTCTGTACTGACTTAATGCCTGATTTAAATAGTCTTTTTTCTTCTTCTTCCCCCTCTTACATCTCTGATTTGAAGTCTGAGGCTTTTCAGAGAATATTTGAAACTGTTTCATGGTGCTATTTGAGAAATGCAAAGAAGGAACGAATAAATAAAACTTAATCTCACATAAAACACCAAAGTAAAGGCACACTGTAATCCCTACTTGCCAGCATTAAATATTGCTCTCTTACAAAATAAAACAAATGATGATTCTCCTGTCAGTTACTATCAATCTTTGATGTCGCAGTAGTTCAGCGGCACAACAAAGAGTCTGTTACGTAATCGAGGTTCTGCGTCACAATGACCTCAAGCAAACGTTTATTGACTTGTGAGCTGCAAGAAATTGATTTARTCATTTTGTTCATTGCCAAAAATAAACAGACAACAAGGTTACAGCAAACACTGGTCAAATTAATGCCCACATGTGGCATTAATGGCCACGACAGTTTAAGAAAACAGGAGTAATGGATGAAGTGTTGCTGACAGACTGAGTGTTTTACAGGGTGCTCATGCTAAAGGTGGGAGGCTGAAGTCAGGCACTGCACGGAATACAAGCAAAGTCTCCAGGTAAGAACCAAGAAATATGTGTATTAGTTCTGAATGTTTTCCTTCCAAGTAAATCCCCAAATCCATTTCCCTAAACCCGTCTGTCACTTTACAGTCCTCAAGAGGAAGGAGATTTGAAACCTCAGCTTCGGAAACACTCCTTTACACATAGAAAAGAAGAAAAACGAGAAAGTCAACGGATGTCACAATGCAGCAGCGAGCACTTTCAAAATCGTCCAGGGATGGGGAAAAATCGTCGAGCCCTGTCTTTGCCSCTTTCACCAATATCGGGGCTACGGCACCTGCCAGCTCAGCCCCTGACGTGCTCCCCGGTCCCCACCCCCGAGGCGCTCCAGCGGCACTATAACCACAAGGAGGAAGACACTGACAGTGCCAGTGACCTGTCAGACTCTGAGAGGCTGCCTGTTTTGCCTTCGCCGTGCACCCCATGCACACCTCCGCATCTCAACCTCCGGGCAGAGATCATCAACACTAATGACTTCCTCCCAGACTTTCCAGGACCCCACGGGACGGTGGGCGATGAAGATGAAGGTGAAAAACCAAACTACAGCTACCCAGATTTTCTGCCGCCTCCTTTCAACAGCTGGAGCCTGAGACAGTTGGCTGTGTTTCTTCACACAGAAGGTCGCGGTGCCCCACGGCCTAAACCAGTGGGGCCGTTAGAGAAGTACCTGGAGAGGTTACTCCAACTGGAGTGGCTTCAGATTCAGACAGTGCAAGCAGAGATCAACCGTCCACCTGGGAGCCGTACAAGACCGCAGGGCTTCCCCTCTCAAACCACCGCCCGGCCCCACACAGCCCCATCGTCCCGGCTCAACTCCCCCAAAGGGCTGCGGCACAGCTCGCGAGCATTCCCGCTCACGCCCGTCAACAACCCGCCGTCGCCTGCTTCAGTCCAGCACCAGCTCTCCCACTTTCCCGTTTGTCCACACTGCCACATTCGCTACCCACTGTGCAATGGAAGCTGCTCCGCTTATGCATACCAGCGTCACTCGCGTCTCAGTCCCCTACTGGAGCGCAAAGCGGGACCGGGCGCAGGGGCAAAGAGAAGCAGCAGCGAGACCCGAGCAAATTCCATAGAAGGTAGGAGCCCAGCAGGACAGGGCGGAGGAGGAGGAGGAGGAGGWGGTGCCCGGACACCGGTCAGCCCTTCGGCTGGGAAGAGTCATGTCAGGAACATGCAGGCTGCAGGCAATGCCCGGAGGCAACCCCATGAAATGGGCACCAACCAAAGCAGCAGAGGCCAAATGAGAAAAAGYCGYGTCAGAGCTCACTCTGAGACAGATGTTAAAAAGGAACCTGGTGGAATTAAAACACCGAGTACAGAAAAACGGGGATTCGCTGGGATTAAGAAAGAGATGGTCACCTCTAAGAGAGACGAGCAGGACAGTCAGAGGATTGAGGCAGGAGGTCAGACCTCCAAACCTGCCATGAAAAGAGCTGCTAAAAACCCAGCACCTCACTGCAAAGCAGCGCCTAGCAGCCATAGTGTCCTTAAGCAAAACAGCAAAACAAAAAATGTGCACTTCGTTGCAAAGTGACCCATATAGACCTGAAGCATAGTGCTTCAGTTAGTGGTTACTTGGCAAAGGATCTTAAACCTATGCTTGCTTGTTGTGTAATTTGTTGAATACTAACACGCTCTAACTGTAACAGCAGAATAAATGAGTCCGTTGTGAAGCCACCAATTGTTTGATACGATCAGTGGCTAAGCAACTACAGTAGATATAGACCAAAAGTGATACATTTTAGTTCAAATGTACAGTGATATGCATAATGATGGGCATAAAGACAACTCAAATAAGGCTATTAAAACAGGCTTTATGTAAATGGAATTGTAATGCACTCGCTCAGTAATCTCTTAATATTCTACAAATATTAAAACAAAGATGGAATAAATATACAATAGGAGAGCTTTGAGCATAAATAAKTCATAGTAATGTTCAACACAGGTCATTGCACTTTGGTCATCAGTTTGAATGTATTTATTTTTCATAGTAGTACATTCTTGATATTTTTTTTTATTATTATTTTGTGCCTCATGTTTTAAATTATCCGTTAAGTTTAAGCATCTTTAGCCGAAAGAGAGGCACTGCAGTGTAGCGTGAATCGTTTGTGTTATGTTGTCACATTTTTGGCTACAAGGGCTTTTCACTTTTGAACAGCTTGAACTGTAGTCCATGATAATAAGCYGTATTTTGCATAGAGTCGTTGAAGATGGTGAATTGTTTGCTACGATTGTAAATGGATATTTTTCCAGTTTTTATATACCATAGTTATATTTATGAGAAGTGCTGTTGTTTACTYGTATTTGTCTTGGCCATCTTTATGTTTACATTGTCACGCACAGGAGGAGAGCTGAATGTAACTTTGTGTCCCGCACTGGAGCTGTAACATTGTTCCACTGTAAACGTGATGGTCTGCCTGTTTTAAACTAGTGTTTGTTTGATTTACCATGCACATTTGAACTCTAAGAACAAAACGTTGTAAATGTGATGTACTCTGGCTGAACCTATTTACTCAACATCCGTGTACAAAAACAAAGCCATAGGTAAGAAGCCAGGATGTGGAGGGGTTGGGGAAAAATTATTGTAAATGTATAGGCATCTTCATGCACGCTGAAAGATGGTATTTTCTCACTGTTGAACGCAAACATTTGTAAGGCATAGAAATAAATGTTTTTCACACAAGGGAGACTGGTCTTGGTCATTCGTTGGTAAAATTATCCTTAATTGATGTTGAATAAGGAAACAAAGGAATTAAACATTTTTAGTAAGATTTGGAAAAGGGTGGTAATAAGTTTTACTTCTTCCCATTCCTTTTTCAAATCTGTGACCCATCACATCGAAACGAGGGTTAAGTCTAAACATATATGGAGAACTAGGCAAATACAGTGTTTTGATTCAAATGTTTGCAAAAATTGCATTTTATCAAAGCATAATAAATAAATGCCTTATCAATGTATCATTTGAATGAACTGTTTTAAATACAATCATAAAACAAAATTTTGATTTTGAGGAAAAATGCCTTAAAATTTTGAGATTTTCCATGTGAGCAAAGTTTAGTTTTTTTTTTAATTCAGCTGGGAAATCTCAATACTCAAATATAATGAGGTTTCCTCTTTATAATGACATCAAAAATTCCTCATTAAATACCTAATTTCCCTCTGGGATCAATAAAGTATTTTTGAATTTTTGAATTTGAATTGAATTAAAATGACACAATTTGGATTCAGACCAAATATTTATGTATTATTGTAATCAACAAGAAAAATTAAGTCATATTTATAGATTTACTGATATCAGAATGATCCAGGTATCAAAATATAGCATTTAAAACCAGGAATCTGTAAAAGTGATGAGGTAATTTTGACCAGATTTGACTTAATCCTCATTTCAACATGATAACGTATGTTAAATTTTATTATCTTGTTATATTTACATGTTTGAAATAAACCTGAACCTGCTAACTTGGTGTTCACGTTTACCTATTTAAAATCCTCAAATCATTGGAATCAAATGTTCTCAAAACTGATTTATTGGATACATTTTGTTTCTGGATGCAATTAGAGCTTCTTCTGAAATTGGAATGGATTTAAAAGTTGGCGAAGCTGCTTCTCCCTGTCGTTCACACACCCTGCAATAATTTAAAAAAAAAGTTTATTTTCAGAATTTATTAATATGATGATTCAAACAGTTGAACACATGATAAATTACCATCATTATAAATGTTTGTCAAAAGGACACACTTGGATTTTTGTTTAGAATCCTAAAAATGAGATGTTTTTGACTCATTAACTTTGCATTGACTGAACTGTGAAGTTACCTAAGTGTGTGTTGGCAGTGAAACACAAGCTGCCAAGTGTTTGTGGGTTGACGTCCTCTTTATAGACGGGCCCATTGTTCCACATGAGATCGTAGCCTCCCACTCTTTTTTCCTTGCCAGTGAGCCTAATGAAGAAAACCAATCCATCAGAGAGCTCATCGCCTCTTGGACATCCTTTATTCAGCGCTCCGATGATATTGTAGCATGTCTTGACTCTACTGCATTGTTCTTGACTTTCATATATCCTGTAACACTGCCTCAAATGATACTTTATAGCTAGTGTCTTTTTTTTCTTTGTCAAATGCAACAGAGGCTTTTATGCTTTGTTACTTATGACCAAGAGGCAAATGCTAGTTACTGTACCTTCCCTCCATGTCAACGACATTCAAAGTGTCCTCCAGCAGTCTACACTTCATGTCGTAATCTTCTTGACTACTGTGCGCATAYGAAGGGGAGGCATTCACCTCAATTAACCATCTGTGAAGAGATAGGTGACGGTCAGGAAACTTTTAATTAGCCTTAGTCTTGTGCACAAAAAAAAAAAAAAAAAAACAAGAAAACTTCAAATGCAAGTTGTTGACATTTGTATTACTACATAAAGCACTTGGTTGGGTTTGTGCTGTCATTCACAGATGTGAGTTTATCTGTATTATCTTAGAGTCGTTGCTTTGCTTGTGCAAAGATCTCCAGAATGAGCACTGGGCTATTTGCTTATCGGTGCCTTCACATTGCTGCAAAGCAAACGTGAAAGAAAATGCATTATGATAACACTTACGGTTTGAGGTTCTGGTCCAGTAGTATGTCATAGCCATACAGCTCAAAGCAGTGTTTGTCATTTATAATGGCCTTTTGCACACTCTGTAGGCTCCGGACAAAGAGATTATCCATCTCTTTAAAGAGGGTTTCAACCATCTCTCTGCCGTGCTTTGCTGTCAGGTATCGTCTGAGCTGCTGCAGCTGCCATTTACATCCCTATGTAGCAGCAGATTTAAAAGTACAGCAAAAATACAATGTCATTCCTAGCAGTATAACAAGTTATAAAAAGTAACCRAAAATAAATATAATGTGTAACGTGTTGGTTGGGGGTTTTGAGGATACACACCTTTTCCGGATTATAGTCAGGTGCTGTTTTTTGAACTGAAACATTGGTGAGGTGCATGTCTGCAAAGTTTTACTAAGGTTTTAATGAACTTTCCCCTGGAGGCGGGGTTACTCCAAGCAATTTAATGATTAATTTAACTAATCCTGCGCTTGCGGGAATAAACTATGCTCAGTCCTCAAATTTTTTTTAATATTTATATTTCAAACTTTATTCATTTCTTTAAAAAAAGTAATTATATGTACAATAAAAAATGAAAATACAAATAAAATAAAATGAAAGGTGGCAGAGACAATAAATAATCTTACTACATCTGCCCCTTTTTCCTCAAGTATAAATGCAAACAAAAATGATCTTCAGTTAACAAAACAAAAACATCAAATCTTTCTAGAACAACAAATTATATGGATACAGATTATATTGTTTCATATTTTTAAACAATCTAGCCTTTATCATTCTTTTAAACATGTACAGTGATTTGGCACTTTTAATATCATCTTCCAGATCATTCCACAATCTGACTCCTTGGATTGAGATGCACCGTTCTTTCAAACAGGTTCTAAATTTAGGTTTCATGAACATCTCTGTCCCCTTCAGATTATAACAGCTCTCTCTTTTTACAAAGTTATTCTGGATGTTTAAAGGTAATGTGTTTTGGTGTGCTTTATATATAACTAGCAGAATGTTGTAATCAACCAGATCAGAGAACTTCAATAATTTCAGCTTACAAAATAATATATTAGAAGGATAAAGGTAATGTTTTCCAGTGATAATTCTTACAGCTCTTTACATGCTTTACCCCATACCTCAACACAATAGACATTTTTTATGCTGTAAATATTACAGCATAAAAAAAAGTTAGTGACAAAAAAAAGGATACACTTGTCTTTAATGGTGCTCAGGGAGAAGCGAGTGCCTGAGACGCGGGCAAAGCCATCTCGATACAGCCAGGCTTTCAAGGGAACAAACTGAAAAACAAAGCAAAACACAAACAAAAAATAAAAAATAAATTTAATGTGAACGATATGCGTTGTTTCAGCAGACAATAAAATTAGACTTTTTTATAAAATTATGTAATATTTGAGGCTCAAGACATACTGATGTGACAAGGACATAAACTCTCAGATCAAACTTCCTGCCTGTGGGAGACATAAGCATAAGTTAGGATTTCTTCCACAATTGATACTCCTTATGGCATTTTGAATAAAAAAAAMCATATCAGGTTATTATATCAGTTTATTACCATTAATTAGGTAAGGGTTCTCTATATAGCGTTGCGCTACATAGTTTTCCACATGCATTGCATCTGTCTGTTCCTCTGTGCGGGAACTGTCCTGTAAAAGGCACAGAATTATTGATTAGAGTCAATAGGTGTACATCTATAATTCATGTTTTCATTTCTTTAAGTTGCAACCAGTTTGTTGGTAAAATAATAATTTTGCTACCTTCTTCCAGTCCATGATGTCTTTTAGTTTTCTGAACAGGAAAATCCCTTTGCCTTGAGATTTTCCTACCTAAATGAACACACATTTTATGATTCTTTTTTTTTTTTAAAGATGTTCGAGCCGTGTGGTTCTGTTACCCAAGTACAGTTTTATGAACTTTTTTGTGATCTGCTTGTGCTCACCGGTTTCATGATCCAGGTGCTGCCAGGGCTTCTGCTGAACTCTCCCACAAAGAGATGATACTCACTGGGCAATGCAAAGGTGGAGGGGAAAAAATCACACCTGGAGGCTTCTGTGCGGCCAAAATCCTTTTCAAGACCTTTCTGGAACCTTTTAAGGTTTTTCACCATGAGATCTTTGCGTGTCAGCTGTTTGAAAAAATAGTCCAGTATATAATAAAATAGATGCTATAGCTGGGAAAGTACTCAGTTTATAGTCACAATATGCCTCACTTCATAATAGTTAGGAAAGTGGTTTATCCTGACGTGTTCCTTCATGAACATGTGGAAATTTTCCCTCACCGAACTCGCATCAGACCAGTTGAAGTCCCACTCTTCCTCACTGTGAATAAGAGAGACAACATAAAAAAGCCCCAAAATACAAGTTACTAAAATGTCAAATATACACCAGCTTACTGGTGAAACATTTCCTACATCTTCTACTCACTCTTTGACTTCAACCCAGTCGGGTCTTTTGCGAAGGACATCTTGAATGGTGCTGATTAAGCCACATTTGTAACGGACACACCTTCTTCCATCCCTGAGAGGACAGCAACACAACCACTTCTGTCAGTAGCCTGCTTGTTGAGTCAGAGATTAAACAATTTGATATCATGAACCATACCGGACTTTTGCCATTGTTATAGGAGCCTTTTCATCCAGAAGTCTGTAGGGTTATAAAACCAAGTTATGATTTAGTGCTAATGAAGTACTTTATATAATCAGCTTTATAATCACTATTGAAATCAAAACAAACAACATAGACGAGGCAAAATGAACAGCTGAAATGCTTTGCTGTCTATTCAGTGCACTGTTAGTGACGGATGACACATTTTTAGAAATCTTTCAAATCAAAAATCACAGAGTCAAATAAGAATACATTGCCTGCAGAATCTAAAATTATTATCCAGTGTTGTAAAAAGTCCCACAAAGTGATACTTGAGTAAAAGTACATGTATCTTACC